CCAGCAGGTGGCCGGGAGCGGCCACTGCACTCCAGTCTGGGCGAGAGAGTGAGGCTCCAACTCAAAAAGAAAAAAAAAAAAAAGAAATGGAGACAAGACTTTTCTGTGTGGTCTTCCTCATAGTGATTTCTAGTTAGTTTTTAAAGTTATCGTAAATTAAGATCTCGGAAAGGAAAACTCAAAACCATCACAAAAGTCAGAGTGTTGAAATGCTGGCTTAATACTAGACTCACCAGCATCACAAAAGGGGTTGGTAGAGGCACTATGGGGATGGGGAACACAGAATACCATCAGATCTGAGGAAATGGGCCACCCCCCCAAAAAAAAGCTCCTGCTCTCTTATGAGCTTTCCTGTCAAGAAAGGATGTATAGAAGCCAAGATATCGGTTCAGAAATAAAACAAAATTAAATAAACCTGAGATCCTGATTCATCCAATTTAAGATACACGAATTTTCTAAGCCAAAGAATCTGACAAAAAGCTGAAACTGAATATACACGGCAGGAAGGAAGATACTAACGAGACAAGCAAAGTGCCTCGGGCTCACTCCAAAGGAAGGAACTACATCCTTCTTAGTATGCCTGGTTTGGGCTTGATTGAAAGGTGCAGCCATACCGTCAGACCATCTTGTGGGGCCTATGAATAATGGCAGCACCAAGAGTTCCCAGGTAGGTTTACCTACCCTGAGAGTTTGACTTGTGTGGCACTCCCTTGGAACTGTATTTATCAAAATCACAAACAGGACATAAGTTATATGGCCAGGAGCGAGCAAAGTTTGAGTGAGTGCTCAGACCTAAAAGTGGATGGCACTGTGCAGACTCTCAGAGGTCTTGGGGTCAAGGGATAGCTGGTTTCAAGCCTCAGGCTGTTTCAAAATGCAGCCGTAGCTTTAGGTGCAGTGGGAGACGTGCAGCTGATCTTGCAGTAAAGGCAACATGGTTACCTGGCTGAGATGTTTCTTTCCTGGCCTTTTGCTCTCTAGGGGCAGTATTCTCCAAGGCGGGGTGGGGGTCCAGTCGGCCACTGAGTTGCTTACCCTCTGTGGGAGAATTGAATTTGGTCTCATTTACAAAGGTGGACAGGTCCGAGGGCTGTGGGTAGTCCTGTTTGTCGGATTCCAGGTCCACTGTCATGCACGTCCACTTCTGGTTGGTGACCGCCAGCTTTTCCTCATCTGTTGCATGGACCACTGCGGAGATCACCGGGGGCGTTTCTGGTGTAGCAGCTGGAGTGGGTTCCTGCAATAAAAAAGGAAGCCATCTCTTCTCTCATCAGATTCTTGGTCAGAAACTGTACCTATACATGAGGCTGGGGCCCCATTAGCTAGGACAGGTCCCTGTCACAATCCTCTACACATTCTTCATGGACTCTGCTCCAAATAGTCTCTCTCAAGGAAATATATTCTTTTCTCTATGAATCTTTTATGATAGTTTGTTTCAGAGTGATCACTGAGGTTTTTTGTTTGTTTGTTTTTCTTTTTAATCAGGATTTTGTGTCTTGGTTATTTGAGACACTCCTCCTAGTTTTATTACTATTGTGTGATACTCACATAGTGATCAGGCTTGCATGTCAATATCATCAATACCACCTGACAATCACCATCCCAGTCCCTGGAAAAGGGGGTCTTATCTCCATTTCTGTCAGAGAGTGTGGAGCTGAGTATGGCAGGGTAGGAAACCAGAATGTCAGGGCAGAGTTGAGACTGGGACCTTAGCCCTCTATTCCTGGGCTGAGGAATACACCTCCCTCCACAGCCCCCTCACAGTCCAGGGCTGCTGGCTTAGACTGGGAGGGGTGGGAGGTCTGCTTGTTTTATGACCCAGAAATTGCCCTGAATGGTATGACTTACAAGCTTGAAGACTGCCTTCCTTGGTCTGTAAACAGGGTAGAAGAAACAGCATATACTGTATTCGGCATATACCGTATTCGGTGGAGGAACTAGTAAGGGGAAGCAGGGACTCATATAAAGAGTCTAAGCCCCAGGCAACCCCCTGGGGTCCCCTCCCACTGTGGGAGCTTTTCTGTCCTCTCAATAAATCTTGCTTTCTAAAAGGAAAAAAAAAGAGTCCAAGCCCCACTTCTTTAGAGGAGGGAGTTTCCTTTTCTTCCCTCTTTGATTTTGGCTGCATCATTCGGTAGTCCTGACACATACACAGTTTTTTCACATTCCCACTATGCATTCATTTATCTCAAAATACCTTCTTGACAGTCATATATGTTTACAGAGGAGGCACTGGCCAGAATGGACCAGAACGTTTTCTATAGAATCTAAACGACATTTCCCCTGAAGGTCTTCCTACTCCTGGGTTATACTCTGATCTTCTGCAAAGTGAAGGGAACAAAACAGTGTCTTGCAAATGCTGAAGGACCCTCCATTTCCATGTAGGAGGCAAGAAGAGGGTCTTGGACACATGCCTGGGATGAGCAGAAAGGAAAGCTTTGTTGACAGCGGAGTAAAACCACCTCGACATCAACTCCCAGAGTAGCCATAAAATCACAGAGATCAAAGGAACGTTGTACCTGAGAAGGTGGATCAGAGAGAGGAGACCGTTTTGGCGACTTTTTCACCCTAAATGTGTCACTGGAAATAAAATGGAAAATGTAAGCACAACAATCTGAGGTACAGAACACTCCAGAGCAGACCACAGCCACTGTCTCTGCAGAGCTGTCTGACCCAGACCACCCTCCCGCCTGTGCCACCCCAGTACCAGCCAAACGTGTCCCTGCCAACAATTCATTCTGACTTTTTAACAGCTATTATTTTTACCCCCAAGGGAAAGATCCATCAAACTGGAAATCTTTAAAGAGATGACATTTTGGAGAGCTGACCCAGAAAGTGAAGCTGAATCTAACTAAATGTTATTTCATAAAGCAAATTTTGGGTGAGCAGATTAATTTATCTGGATTCTTCCAGGAATGTCTAAACCAACTATGGTTGGGGAAGGGGTTCTGGGTTCATGACACCAATTAATAGGATCCAATTTGCAGACTGGCAAGCAACACCACACTTAATGAACAACCAGAGGAGCCCCTGTAGAAATGGAGTTCTGCCTCCTCGGGAGAATTTGCTGAACCCCTCCCACTCACAGGATCTTTGTGCATAATGGATTCCTGCATTCTGAAAGCTGCTAGGTGAAATTCTGACTAGAGGCAAGGGAGAGATTATTTTTTATGTCTTCTCCTAACCATGGTGAACAGGTAAGATTCATGGCTCTTTTCTTCCTTTCTTTCTTCTGTATATAAATAATCAGGGGAGGGGGCCGTGAAGCAAAGAAAACATGTCAGACTCCTGAAGGGTCAAGAGGCAGATCCCAGAAGGGAGGGATGACTTTTAGCATAAATGATTCTGTTAAATCCATTGGGTGTTCAGACGGTCATTTCCACAGTCAGAATGGTGGCCCTCTCCACCCTGTAGACTGGACCCCGCCCCCCCCCCAGCTCCAGCCCCTCTGTAATATGGTCCCACCCCAGCAAAGTAAAGGCTCTGGGGGCAGTTTCTGTCCTTAGACCCCACCACCCTTCTCTGCTTTACTTGGTAAATGGATGGGCAGAGTAATTTGGCACTCAAGTTCCTTCCTTGTGTTCTCTCAAATAAAACATTCCAACAATGGCATTTGATCATGGAAAAAAACACTATAAATGGCTATTTGCAACATTTATGACATTTGCCATAAAAACAGTGCAATCACAGCTTGAAGCATATATTTATTCATGCATATAAATATATAACTGCATATTCTGTAGTTGCTAAATGGCTTGAAAATACTAAAGAAATCCCTTGGGCAGAAGAGAACCTCAGAGACTTTACCCTATCCTGAGGCTGCCAGATACCCAGGACCAGGCCAGCTTCCCTTGTAAGGACAGGGAGAAGGTATGTGTCTTTGGGTCCCTGAGAGCTGCCCACAGATCGCTCCTGGCCAGGAGAAGCAAAGCAGCAGAGGCACAGAAATAGTCATCTCTGTTTCCCCAACATTCAGCAGGGTGACCCACGGATGGCAGATAAGGCATGCCAACACCCAGCCAGGTCCAGGGTGACCAAGGACGCAGACCCGGGGCCACCTGGTGATGGCTCTCACGGTCATGTGCTCCACTCTGAGCCCAGTGCTCTGCAGGCTTCAATTTGGAAAGGGCCAAACATTTCAGCTTCTCTCATTAGCAAGAACAAGCCATGGTGGTTGCTCTCAGTGCTTAGGTGGGATGGTTATTTTAACATGAAGCCACATTCTATTGAAAGAAATCACCCACTACCCAATTTAAAATGAAAGAATGCAATGAAGAGTTTTAAAATGTATGGGATTCAGATGAAGACATTCATTATGCAAGGGGTAGGGGAAAGGTTCCATTCCTGACAAGCAGGCAGATGTTGGATAATCACGTTTGCACAGCCAAGCAGTCTCACTCATGCTAATTACTATGAAACAGAAACACAGTCTCTGCTATCAGGGAGCCCCGTGCCCCATCATTCCCAGGCCCGCCACAAAAATATGTCAGCAGCAGCCATAGAGGGGGAAATAAAACAAGCTTGGAAGCAGAAACAAAAGGCATTAAAAAAGCACATTTGGCATAAGAGGCAGATTCCATTAAATTTACTTACAACAGAGAACACACAGACATCACATCTTCAACCATCCTAAGACAAGAAGACAAAGAAAAAGAGAGACAGACAGAAGGAACTGACAAAAAAGGTAAATCTGCAGACAATTGGTTATTAATGGGTTAGGATACAACAGCCATTTGCTGTAGGATCTACTTCAAAAGGGTAGGAATTGGCCGGGCTCGGCGGCTCAGGCTGTAATCCCAGCACTTTGGGAGGCCGAGGTGAGTGGATTGCCTGAGTCCGCGGGTACCGGGCAACTTGGCGAGACCTCATCTCTACAATACATCCAAAACTAGCTGGGCATGGTAGCGCACGCCTGTAGTTCTGGCCACTTGGAAGGCTGAGGCGGAAGGATCACCGGAGCCCAGCAGGTCGAGGCTGCGGTGGTCAGAAACGTGCCACTGCACTCCAGTCTGGGTGACAGGGTGAGACTCCAACTCAAAAAAAAAAAGGGTAGGAATCTCAGATTTTAGGAAAGGGGCTGTTGGCTCTAATTATTCCCACAAAGCCTTGGTGCCTAAAGAGCTTTGTCAGCCCAGTGCAGGGTCTTCGAAGCCTCCAGCCCCACCCATGTTAGAGGTGACACCACAAGCTGGGTCAGCTTCCCCGAGCTCTGTTAGCTCTGAGGATCAAACCAGAAAGTGGCTGGGGATAAATATGATATATAGATTTATCTTGGAGGAGGAGAAGATGGTGACTAAAATTGACTCTTATTCCAAAGATGAGAGAGCGTGGCTTTGCAGTCTAAGCGTTTCAGACTTCTCTATTCTGCGTTTGAAATAAAGTTTTCAACACGAATTCTATGGAGTCTCTAAGAAGGGACTAGCTGGGTAAATGATCTAAGAAAAGTCCACATTTGGGGACAGGATGGCCTCCCAGCCATCCCCAGAAAGCAGTAGTATAGTCTAAGGCAAACACTGCTACAGATAACATCATCTCAGGAAGCCCTGAGTTCTCCTCAGATGTTCAAAGCCTGGGGGAGCCCAGAATGGGAGGCAAATGGATCACCCTGTCTCCTTATGTGTCAGGCAGACCCAGAGGGACCAGCACTATGTCCTATTCTGCTGCCCTTGAGGAAACCAATCTCCTCAGCCTTGTAAAATTCTTGACAATACTTCCCACGAGAACAAGGAAGTCTCCAAGCAGTAAACCAGAGACCTAAGAAGAAAGGATCAGGAGCCATCCAAGTTAAAGCTGGGTCTTGGGATAAATTCTGGAGGCATGGATGCACAGCATCTAAGGGCAATGTACTGGGCCTTGCCAAGTGTTTGTGGACCACAGACCTGATCATCTTTGGCTTCCTGGGGATTGTGGGGATTTGCTCTCTGCTTTCAGATTCCATTTACCTCTTTGGGCTTTTGGACTCTTGTCCACAAAAAGGTGACTAGAGAAAGGGAAGGAGACAAAGAGGGGTGTTTCTTAAAGGCTGGGCAGGGTGCAGGGAGGGACCCAGGTCACACTTTTCACTCCTCTACCACCTGGAACCCACTACTGTATCGCTCTCTGTGCTAATAATGTCTCTTTATGGACAGAAACAAAACTATAAATTTTAACAATAGTTTAAAAGGCATATCTTCTAGCTTCTCTAAAAAGCAATTTGCATGCTAAACAGAGATAAGGGTTAGTCACCAACAGGGGAGTTGACCAGGTCTCTAAGGGGCTGTTCCCTTTCTATGGGATCTCCCAGACTCTGCTGGAGTGGAATGTCAGGTCTTTGGCCAAAAGTGAAACTCTAGACCATTGACTTACTAAGGTAAAAGATCAAGGGACCTTGACTCCAAAGGCATATGTGGATAGGAAAAATGCTACCACTGTGGCCACAGAGAGGAAGGAAAACATGTATCCTCCCTGCTGGTGAAATAGCCACAAATATGGCATCACTACAGCAACCGGAGGCAAGGTTAGGGCAGTTGAAGGTTATCCAGGCATGACTATGGGTCACAGTCAATGTGCAGCCCCGCCTCCGATCCTTCCACCTCCACCCCTGAACTTACGTCTTTAGGGGCGTCTTCTTCTTCTTGGCGGGCTTGTTTAGCCCGTCCCCGTCCACTCCACTGGCTTCGATAGCATTGGCTGGGATCTCAAAGGAGGATGGGGATTTAGAAGGTGAGCTGGGGGTCTTAGAGGACGTCTTAAAGGGGTCAATGGGCTCATCACAGGCGTCTGGGTCAAAGTTGTATGACTGTTGGGGCAGTTTGGGAGACTCCTGCATTTTGGGGGTGGAAGTAAAAGGGTTAAAATTGGGGTCATCCCACTTGTCAATATCAAAGGTGTAGGTACCTTTAGCAATAGGGATGTCATTGGGTTCAGCGGGGGATCTGGGAGGTGAGGCAGGAGTGTTGTCAAGTTTCTCGGGTGTCTTTTTCATCTTTGGCCTCCTTAGGGGCATTTTGGCAACCGGCTTTTTGCCAATCTTTTTGGTAGAAGAGGGATTCTCCTGCTGGTTGTCCCAACTACCCTTGTCCTCAGAATAGTCAAACTCCAGCCTCACTGAGACCCCTTTGGCTGGGGAGTCCTCTTGCCCCTCACTATCTGATGGGGTCACCTCCACTGCCTCCGGGGCCGTGGTAAGAGGCAGCGTCTTCCTCCCAATGGGGGGTGAGTTCTGCACTCTGCCACCTCCAGCAGCTGGGGGGATAGCCCCTTCTGCAGTTTCCGAGTCCAGAGGGCAGACAGCTTTGGACACAACAGTAGGTTCCAGGGGTGTCTCCTCCAATAAGGCTGGGCCAGAACTTTCTGTCTTGGCGGATTCCGTTTTTGTCTCAGATGCTGGATTCTCCTCACCGGAGACGGGACTCTCTTCCGCTGGCTCTTGTTGTGTCTCTTTCACTGGGGGGGTCTCTGTGGGTTTCTTAGTGGTCGGTTTCTTTTTTAAGGAAGGTGGCCTCGGTTTTTTAGTTCGCTTAAGAGTACTAGAAGCGCTGCTGGAACCCGTGCTGTATGCATCTGGGGCGAGGGCCACGGCCTCGGGGTTGCCTGAGCAAGAAGCACCATCAAAGTCACTGGCTTGCAGGCTGAGAGACCGGGACAGCGTGGACTTAGAGATGGGCACGGAGTCGGTGGACTTCCTCCGCGTGTTCACTGTGCACTCTTGATTCTTAGGGTCTGAGGCGCGGGGCTCCACGGTCTGAAAGCTATCCACTAGCTCGATGTTGTCAAAGTCCAAATTGTAAGTCCCGCTGCTAGCTATTGGCTTGTCTTCGTCGAAAACAGCAGAAAAGGAGTGTGATGGGGGACGGAAAGGACTTCCTTCTACAGAGTCGCTCTGTGGGCCCTCAGGGATGGAGACTGTTTCAGAACTGCATCCTAAGGAGATAGAGACAGAGCAATCACTATGGACACAGGACACACTGGAACATTTCTCTGCCAGACCATCAGCCACTAGAGCAAAAGTTAACAAGTCACAGCCCCAGGCCACCCCGGCCTGCCACTGGGCACACTGGTTGGGTACAGACCCTGGTCCTACCCTGGACAGGTTTGCCCTCGGTTCCCTCATTTGTAAAATGGGAGTGAAGAGGGCTGATTCAGAAATAATTCATTCATTTACCAAGTGCCTAATCAGGACCAGACACCAATCTTCATGCTGGAGACTCAACAATGAACAAAACAGACAAGATCCTGGCCTTCCCAGACATCACTTGATTCAGGGAAAAGATAGTGAATAAACCAACAAACAAGCAAAATGTACAGACTGTCAGAGGGTGATATGTGCTAGGGAGAAAAGTAAAGCCAGGACTGGAGAGTTGCAATTTTAAAATAAATTAGTCAGGCAATGTCCTCCGAGAAGACATCTGAGCAAAGAATCTAAGTAGAGGCATGAACCAGGAGAACTCCTGGGGAGAAAGCAACTTAGGCAGAAAAAACAGTAAGTGTGCAGCTCCTGGGGGAGGACCACCCTTGATGTATTACAGAAATACCAAAGAGTCGCTAAAGCAAGAGACAGGAAGACAGATAAATACTGCAGTAAAGCAGAGTAAGTCTTGCATAAACAGTAACCAGTGTCACCAGCAAGTCTGCTCTTGACTACTCAGAGCCATCCAAGGAACAAAGAGGAGCCTTTAAATGGAGGTCCCTGGGTAACTGTGGCAGAACTGACCTTGCTGTCTGCCACCTGCTGCTCCAGCCATCCTCTGTAACCGCTCCCTCTATCCTGCCTGTCCGTCCTTGCCCTTGCCTCCTGTCTATTCTCACTCCTCTCTTGGCTGCTTCCTCTGAGCTTTTCTGCCTCATCAGCCACTGCCGGCCAAGGAGGTTGCTGCTCCGTATTTCCTAACAGGCCGCAGATGCCCAAAGTGTTGGCCAAAGGATGCCCAGGGATCCCACACAGTCGCACTGCCCCAAAGGGGCCAGCCAGCCCTGGCCTCGGCTGGGCTGCTCTGGGTTCTGCTCGCACCAGGTGGCATCTTCATGCATTTCTGAGTTCACAGCTGTTCCTGGCAGTCAAGGATGCCAGAAAGAGATGTGCCAGAAAACGAAAAATGTGTCACTGGACAAGAGAGGGCCTACATCGTGAAGTGGTCTACAGGTCAAAGGACGTGGGGAACGCAGAACCAAGGAGAGCCAGAACTGGTCCGAAGGTAACTTGGGACGGCGTTCCTAAAGTGTGCTGCGCTGACAGGTGTTACACCCCCCAGGCCGTTTCCCATACTGATAAAGTTGCCAGACAAAATACAGGATGCTCAGCTAGATTTGAATTTCAGATAAATGATTATGTTTTTTAATATACGTATGTCCCACATCCCAGTTATCTGTTGTTTATCTAAGAGCCAAATTTAATGGGTACTTTTTCCCATTTTGATGAGCTCTAGCCTTCATCTCACCAAAAAGAGTTTGGGAAATCTTAATTAAACCCGAGCTAGTCTGGTACTGCAGATTTCCTCAGGGCCGTTCATGCTCACGCTGCAGACTTCCAGGTGATGAGCATTTCGTACTTAGCAAGCTTGGCTCACAGCAATCTTCCCCTGGAGCACTAAGCAGAGAACTCCAGTTGGTGAAATGAGAGATCACCACACACAGAACCTTCAAGCCTCTTGAGTTCAGGAATCAGTCTTATCTTTGGATTCCCCCTTGCCTTCTGGAAGCACAGCTTTGGGCTAGTCCATGTTTCATACCTCTTTCTCACTCCCTCTCTTCCCACCTGGAGCGATGTCCTAAATGCAGTACAGCTGATTGAAGTCTCTCAGCTCTCTCTTTCCATGAAACATTCCTCCAGCATCTTCCAAACACTCCTACTTCCTTCTCACCTCAAAAGAAGAAGTGTCACCTCCCTTTTAAAACCAACTCCCTCCCTCGTACTTCCAGGACCAGTACTCTCAAGCACTCTATCCTCACATCAGCAGTGGCCTTGTCTTCTTACCCTGCGACTGCCCCTGGACACACAGTACAGAGGACACAGAGGACCACGGCATGCTGAGGAGGACTAGGTGCTTTCAAAAGGGGCTTGACAGGAGGGAGAACGAGCCTCAGGCCATTCCATCATTTCCGAAGCAATGCCAACTTTGTCCCTCCCAGGCTGCTACACATGCCTCTGCAGCCTTCAGAAGGAAGCCTTTGGAAGCCTACAGAGGCTGTTCAAACGTCACTAGTAATCATGCAACAACGAGCAGACCTTCAGCTTAACCATCTGTTCATTGCTTTCTCTAGGAGAAACAGCTCCCTGCCTGCTTAACATGGCTTTCCTATTTAGAACTGACATTCACTCATTAAATCATCATGGACCAGAAAACTTAACCTTGCTGCAGGGTTTCTTAACCTTGGCACGATGGCTGTTTGGGGTTGGTCAGTTTTTTGTCACAGGGGCTGTCCTGTTCATGGTAGCACATTCTTAGCCTCCAAGTGCTAGATGCCAATGGCACCCCCCTACCCTAGTTGTGACAACCAAAAATATCTCCAGACATTGCTATGTCCCCTTGAGGGGCAAAATCGCCACTGGTTGGGAACGGCTCTTATTGTGTGGTCACCAACACAGGCTGCTCCACAAGGTCCATCGCAGGGTTGGGAGGACCTTTAGGATCCAGTAGGGTTCCAAGTTCTCCCCACCCCCACAGACTTCTAGACATCCACACGACATATCTGTACAGACCATTCATTCCAAATAACCTGGGTGCCTCCTATATGTAAGTCACTCTGGGGTATGCCAGGGACACAGAGATAAGGAAGGACAGGACCCCAGATCAAGCCATCCACGTCAACATACCCTCCACCTCGAATGTCCTGTCAGTGTAGACCAGGGCAATGCCCTGGAGAGCAGTACTTTGCACCAGGCTCCGAGTTTCTGGCATGGTCTGATGATCGAGTCAGCATCTGTGGCTCATCGTATGAAAGGCTCACTAGGGTTTCCCAGTTATCCGAGTCTGGAGCACTGCCATCACCAAATACCACAGCCCAGGGGGCTAAAACAACAGAAATTTATTTCTCACAGTTCTGGAGGTCAGAAGTCCAAGGTCAAGGTGTCAGCGGGTTTGGCTTCTCCTTGGTTTGCTGATAGTCTTTTCTCTGTGTGCACTCCTGGTGTCTCTTCCTCGTCTTCCAGGGACACTAGTCCCACTGGACGAGGGTCCTACCCTTATGAACCCAGTCAACCTCAAGTGCCTCCTTAAAGGCCCTATCTACAAACACAATCATATTGGGGGGTGAGGGCTTTTGACATATGAATTTAGAGGGGACACAATTCAGTCCATAGATCCAGTGCTGGGCAATACAATCCCTAAGCTAAGGAAAAGCAAATGTGTTAGAAATAGGAGGGAATTCCAAGGAAAGAAAGAAAGAAAGGGGCAACTGACATCAAATAGTTAACATCATCCTACCTTCCCAAAGGCCACATTCTTAGCCTTGCTGGACTATTTTTCATGACAGCACCTCCCTCCCTCTCTCTTCTCCTCTCATAATGAGCTCACTTTGAGCAGGGATCCTTGGGGTCCAGAGCACCAAAGGTGTGCCCTGGCACTCTGAATTTAAACCAGTAAATCAAGGTAAATGGTCTTATTCACAGGAAGCATAACTTCATATCTTCTAAGTGCATGAATAAAAATCTACTGCAATTAATACTGTTTATTCTGGGGAAAAGTCGCCATTTTAAGTAGGCTAACAAGATGCAAAAGAAAAATTCCTCAGCTCTTATATGGCATTTTGCTGTAGCTGTGGGCAACTCAGAGTACGCCCATGATGAACTCAACATTTCCCAAACTCGTCTCATCCGAGACACACCTGAAACACTCATTAAAACACCAGACTCCTGCTTTGTCCCTTCCTGCCTGGAGAAGCAGCAGTTCAGCAAGGCTAGGAGGGGGCTCAGAGTCCTCATTTAACAGGTACCACAGTGTCCCTTTCCTCAACAGTCTGGGACTGGGTTGGTCACTCACCTGCTTCTTTCTGGCCTATCCTAGTTCTTAAAACCTCCAATGGACAACACTTTAATGTTTGGCTACAAAAATGAGTGGGTTTTGAGGACATGCTTGGATGGGACTTGGATGGTGAGCCCTGATTCCAGGTCAGGATTTTGACTCAAAGGCTTGAGGTGTTAGGGCTGCAGAGGAGACAAGCAGACGCAGTCCCTAAGTGTGCACACTCCACTGATGTAGCCCAAAATGCAGAGTTACGAAGCTCAAGACACTAAACCCAATATTAAACAGCAAGATAGCAGCAGGCCCATGCCATGGGCACCTTCTCTCTCCAAACCTGACATTCAGGCTTTCCACGAGACCCTGTTGAGTCCCAAGAATCTCTCCACTGGGGCTTTTGCTCTTCTGCTTCCCAATGTCTCTCTTGTGTTCTTATGTCTGTGCTCAAACTTCCATTCAATTCCCAGAAATCAAGCAGGGAAAAGTGCCAACAGAGGCGTCATGGGTAATGACAAGTACTGACCATGTTAACTGACTCAGCGATGGAGACATTCTCTTTGTGAAAAGAGAAACATTTTCCCCATCAGTGTCCACCTTGTGAGCATCTGAGTGGCAGAGCCATAGTCAGGATGAGGAGAGCCAAAGGGGCAGGGGATTGGCTGGGTAGGGCAAAAAGTGACAGCTCCCCACAGGCGCCCAGGAACACTGTCAGGGTGACAGTCCCACCATGGAATGGCACACAGGGTGGGGACTTGTGAAGCCCTGGGCGGGTCCAGGCTCTGCCTCGAGCATACCACATGTCTCTTCTCTGTCCTGCTTTGCTGACTGTCACTTCTCTTCTCTGTAAGCCAGAGATGAGCAGCTTTTCTAGAAAATGCATGCCTGCCATCTTGCTGGGGTTCTTCCCTGGGGGGCTGCCTACCACAGGGCCACGAGCTGCAGCACCAGCACAAAGGCTCTGCCGGT